ATGGCTCTACTGCATATTAAAACTCTCGGATTGCTCATTGTGTCAGGCAAACATGGCTCTTACAGCTTACTGTTTTTTGTGTCTGTACACATGAGACTAAAGGGCCACTCTGACCTGATGGCATCTACATTTGGAGAAGGTGAGATGGTATGGCATCCAATAATGAGGGCAGAAACCTCCCCTCCTTTTTATAAAGGGGAAAAAGAACAACACAGCCTCTTTCTACATCCATCTCACATGTTAATTTTATAGTTCATGATGCTATAAGTAAGAAGAATTTCCACTAATGCCATACAGGAACGAATTCTTCAGAAAACCTGGAACTACAAATACAGTCAGGAAAAATACATATGTATATATATATATATATATTTCTTACCCATTTCATGAGGAATTTCATGGCATAAAATAGCAACAGTTGTTGTCACACCTGTTTCTGTTGAGGATGAGAATGCTGCTCCTATTACCAAGCCATCAGCAAAATTGTGAAGACTATCACCCACCAGAACCATTATTGCTAACAAGCTAATTTTCTTACCTAGGAAAAGACAAACAAACAACCAACGAAAAAGCCCAGAAGTTTCAACACAATCAGATATTATAATTTTTGTTATGTTAAAAATGATTTGGGTTTTTTTGGTGACTTCACATGCAACATTATGAAAAGTCATAATAATCAGAGGACAATAGCGTTTATCTATTTTGTCCTTGTTATTACACTTCCCTCAGTACAGTAAAACAAAAAAAGTAGGTTGTAGAATAATTCATAGATGTAAATATCAGGAAGTAGCCTTCTTATTGACCTTCTAGGTCAACTATTAGACAAAAACCTTAGAACTAGTTTTGAGTCCAAACTCCTGATATATCCTAAGGGTTTCCATTAATCTTTCTTTGATTGCTGAAATTCACACAAGTTTTCCTAGTTGAATTTTTTTTTCTTTAAAAGATGGGAGTTTTTCCATCATCGCTCACAGAATTGCACAGCTGTAGTGAAGATGAATATTTGATTTCATGCAGCTGATCATTTTAATGCTGTAAAGCATGCTGCTACTGAGTAATATTTTCAAGGTCTGTTTTTTATGAGATTGTATTGCAGTTAAAGATAGAGATGAAAGGCAACAAGCCTCAGAATATCACTATTAGTACAGGGTTACAGCATGCTCGTTTCCACTTTTTGTTCCAGCCAGTTAGTGGCTGTTATACTCACAGTGCTCCTGTCTGAAGCATCATCACTCATGGATGCAGATGATTGTTTTTCTTTTCCATACTGTTCTGTGACCTTACTATTGTGTGGAACAGCACATTGGATGTCCATGATTAGGCATCTGACATGAGTGGAAAGGTGCCACTAGTGACACAAGGACTGAAATCAAGGTAAGGAGTTAGGGACAGCCTCTCTATCCAGCCTGTAACCCAGATAGCTTGGTAGCATGTTGACAGGGATTCATGGTAAGGGATTTTATCTCTTCAAGCAACAATGAGATTCCATACATAGGCTCAACGTCTAGGCTTAGCAACATATAATTGGCTCTCCTATCCTGTACTTTGTTCCACCCATTTTATTTGCAATCTTACAAGCAGGACCTCCTAATACCTCTCAGGAAACTCATCCAGCTTCCCCCTTCACAGTATGGATAGAAGAACACTTTGCAAAGGATTGCTTTTATGCCTGAAGCAGCAAGGTTGTGATGTGGGCCCTAGACATGTATTTTCCTGGCTTTTGATGGCCCCACACAGACATAATATGACAGTCTAAGGAGCTAGCGCGGAGCTGCACAGAACTGTCTGAATATACTTATTACGAGGTTTCACTTCAGTAGTGTTTTTCCAGAGATGTCCATTTTATAGTGATGGGGGAGATGTTTTTCCTACAGAAACTGGCTAGAACTGAATTCTTCAGGCTGTTATAAAAAAAACCACACAGGACGTAAAAGCCTAACCACTGTATTCAGAAAATCCTTCCTAGTTGCCTGGGAGCTCTGCAGGTTCAGAAAAATTGGCAGGCTTGTTAGATTTTCCTGCCAGCTTACAGAGCCAGACATGGATGTCCCCAGTTTGCACAGTTCTTTCTAAACACCATAGGCAGTTTATAATCAATAGTGCAGAGCATGAGTTACATAGAAATAATAGATTGCTGCACTGCATTAAGTTTGTGATTTGTAATAAGCACTGGTGAGGACAAAATCATGGCTTGCCCTGAGATATTATTAGTCTGTTTTATCCAAGTATCTGATTGCTGAAGCAGATGTACCATAATTACTGGAACTCACTCCAACATGTTGTCTATAGTGTAACACAAGGATCAGGTTAACATTATGGAGCAATTGCAAATGTAAGCTTTGTGAACTCACTTGACTGAAACTTAAGAAGATACATATATAAACAAATCTGAAAGTTTATCTTAATTTTCTTAATTTACTTTCAGCCTATTTTAAAGCAACTTTGTTACTAGCAATTATCTCACTGCATTATATTGCTGCAACAGTGACTATTAACTTATTACCTTATTTCTACAAAGCCTCTTCTTCTTAACAATCCTACATTTATTTTTGACAATTTTCTCTGCTTAAATAGAGGATAAGAACTCAAAACAAATTCTATTCCATAATTTTTATAAAGCTACTGTAGATTATGTTTTTGAAGCTTTGAATAAGAATTTAAAGCAAACATTTACCCATAAATAGATCCTTTTTCCAATGTTTTCATTACTCATACAGCAAAAATATTTCTATTTAATATAATGTCTCTCTAAGTATACCAAATATAAAATGCTACTGTTTGATCTTTTCAGATCTTGATAGAACAAGTGTGGATAAATGAGAAGAGGGCTAGTGAGAAATCTTTTTTTTTTCCAGTAGCTTCTTGCATTCCGAGGTACTCACTGGCTATGTAACGTGACTGACTCTTCTCCTAGTCCTACTTGAAATGCATTTACCATGAAGTCTGGAATTTCTGGAGACGTCAGGCTTCTGTCTTAGAGCTGTAGATTCCATTCAATTTTGAGAAAAAACACCTAAAAGTTTAGCTCAGTACCAAGGTACCCAGGTATGTTTATGCATTTAGCTATTCATAAGAACTGTAACAACACAAACTTCTGAAAATATGTATTCTCAAAAAAACCTTAAACGAAACAACCCCCCTTCCCTACTACGGTTTCACTTACTGATTTCTAATAGAAAGATAAAACTGAGTGATGAGGAAAAAATGGAACAAACCAAAGAATTTTACTGAGAATCATAGAATCATAGAATCATAGAATCATAGAATGGTTAGGGTTGGAAAGGACCTCAAAGATCATCTAGTTCCACCCCCCCTGCCATGGGCAGGGACACCCTCCACTACAACAGATTTCTCAAAGCCTCCTCCAACCTGGCCTTGAACACTTCCAGGGAGGGGGCAGCCACAACCTCTCTAGGCAACCTGTTCCAACGCCTCACCACCCTCAGAGTGAAACATTTCTTCCTTATATCTAATTGAAATCTACTCTCTTTCAGTTTAAAGCCATTGCCCCTTGTCCTATCACTACATGCCCTTGTAAAAAGTCCCTCTCCAGCTTTCCTGTAGGCCCCCTTTAGGTACTGGAAGGCTGCAAATCAGATCACCCCGGAGTCTTCTCTTCTCCAGGCTGAACAGTCCCAACTCTCTCAGCCTGTCTTCATAGGAGAGGTGCTCCAGCCCTCGGATCATCTTTGTGGCCCTCCTCTGGACCCGCTCCAGCAGCTCCATGTCCTTCTTGTGTTGGGGACTCCAGAGCTGAACACAGTATTCCAGATGGGGTCTCACGAAAGCAGAGTAGAGGGGCAGAATCACCTCCCTCGACCTGCTGGCCACGCTTCTTTGGATGCAGCCAGGATACGGTTGGCTTTCTGGGCTGCAAGTGCACATTGCTGGCTCACGTTGAGTTTCTCATCCACCAGCACTCCCAAGTCCTTCTCCTCCGTGCTGCTCTCAATCCATTCTCTGCCAAGCCTCTACTTGTGCTTAGGATTGCCCCGACCCATGTGCAGGACCTTGCACTTGGCCTTGTTGAGCTTCATGAGGTTCTCACAGGCCCATCTCTCCAGCCTGTCAAGGTCCCTCTGGATGGCATCCCTTCCCTCCTGCGTGTCCACAACACCACACAACTTGGTGTCGTCAGCAAACTTGCTGAGGGTGCACTTGTTCTCACTCTCCATGTCACCAACAAAGATGTTAAATAGCACTGGCCCCAGTACTGACCCCTGAGGAACACCACTTATCGCTGGCCTCCGCCTGGACATTGAACTGTTGATAACGACTCTTTGAGTTCAACCATCCAGCCAATTCCTTATCCATTGCCTGGTCTATCCATCAAATCCATGTCTCTCCAGTTTAGAGAAAAGTATGTTGTGTAGCAAATACTTTGGACAAGTCCAGGAACTATCCCAAATTTAGTTATAGATCAAATTTAATTATTCGGAACAAATAATGCTGAGATCACTATTAATTTCTTTGTGCTTTGCAGGTAGTGACAATTGAACAGAAAGGAAACACGTAGAGATGGGCTAATAGTCACACTGAAACTAGCACTGGAGTGTGAGCTGCGGAATGGATGAGACTGAAGAAATGGAAATCCAGATTTCAAATAGAAGAATATTATGACATTTTAAATAAATCAAACTGATGACCTGAGATTTGAGATCACAAAAAAAGGGGAGTCGATTATAGTAAATAAACTGATTTCAATTAAAATGCTATTCCCTGAGCTGAATGGCTGCAACTCTGCTAAATTCACCAAGGTCACACAAGTACAGTCAAAGGTGGAGTTTGGTTTATGCTCTATTTTCCCATTTTTTGCAGTAAGCAGCAACAAACCAGAGAAGATAAGAGTTACTTTGAAGCTCTCTGAAGAAAGCATTATCCTAAAACTGAGAGCCATTACTAGCCCATAATTCCATACATGTAATAACTTATTATTGGTTTAAAGAGGTTATTGTATTAATGTGTAAAAGAAGGAAGCAGAATCGTATTCGTATAGTGAGCCAAAACAACAATCATTTCACTACTTTCAGAAATAAAAGCCCAAGCAAAGTTTACAATTATAAAAATCTGGTTTGTATTAAATTTTGAGTGTTTCCTTTTAAGCAAAGGCTTTAGAAAAACTGTATGCAACAGTGAGTAAATAAACATTAAAGCATGGACACTATAAGATTAATGAACTTCTCAATTACAGGGTTGGCAGCTGAAAAAGTCTTTAAGAAGATATTTAATGAGATAGCAAAGCACCATCAGATGTGGTGAGGTAGCACAGAGCAAACACAGAGCTAAGCTAGCTTCAGACTTTCAAATCCATCTCAGGTCTTAAGGCTTTTCCTGTTGCTTTTCTAGTTTTTTTATTGATACTAACTTTTTTTGCTGATTGACTTACTCTCTGGAGGAACTTCAGCAGACTCAGAATCTTCTGGGCTTCTCTAGTTAAAAGCAAAGATAACGGATCAGTGTTAAAGGGGCTCTTCCAGCTGCTACTATAAATACAAGAAAATATCAAGTAAGTTCAAGCTTTTTGAATTAAAGATAGTCACCGTTATTTGTGTAGATATCATTAGAATCATTTACCGAGCACTGGCAGTGTGATTGGTACTGCAGAAACACGTAAAAATCTCTGTTGCCCAGAAAAGGTTACAGTCTAATTCAGGTAGAAAGAAAGACATTCATAAGCCCTGTTGTAAACCAAGAAAATCATGTTTCTGCTTGAATATACAAAAATCTGAACCAAATGTAGAACTAAAAAGGACATCATAATTCAAATTGTATCTTTTCATTTTGTCATGACTGGATGATTGTCTATTCGTGCAGCATGGAGTGTCTATAGGATTTCCAATGAAAAACAGGTAGATGCCAGAGTCTCTCTGGAGTTCCTGTTCTTCACAGTTACTCTGTGTAAACACAAGACTAAAAAAGATGATCTGAGGTATGTTTCGCACCCTTTCAAAACATAAGGGTTTTTTCTTCAGGGTGGTACAGCCTCCAGTACCTCTTCTCTTGACATCGTGTTGGCATCAGGCATCACCAGCTGGGCATGGCAGCACATGAGTATACTCCAGCAATGAGTGAAATTTACCCTTATTTCAAGTGAAGAAAGATACAGTAACTTTGTTCTTATCCTACAGAGTTAATATGATGCTTCAGCCCTAATGATTGATTAACAGAAACTGCAACTGTGGGGAGAGAAGGGAGAACATTAGGAACGTCTCTCTCCCTCTACCTCCCTGGGGCTTTTCTTTCTGACTAGAGTAATTATGAGAAATTTGTGCGAGGGTGAGATAAGACAAGAAACTTGTTTGTTTGAAACTAGAAAAACTGAATTTATGATTGCTATCTTTTCTTTGTTTGGAAAAAAAGTCATATTAAAGTTATTATGGCAGCCAGTGAAGAGTCAACAGCAGCACCTAAGAGTGCTTTGTTAGGGACAGCAGCCACCACTCCAAAAACTATAGCAGAGATGTGTATCGGCTGCAAAATGGGATATGTTTCTTGGCTGGTATTTGCTTGGTTGTGATGTGGGATATGTGCTGTAGAGGCATGACAAAGGAAGAGAAGGGATTTGGTTTTCAAAATCTACATTTTAAAGGAAAAATAAAAGTCTTTAATTCCCATGATTGCAGTCAGTCATATGAATTCCAGTAATTGTTCCCCTTCTCGTGTAATATTTATTCACATGCCACTTCTTTGAACTCAGAGTCAAAACTGCAAGACTAATCACAGACCTGAAGGATTTATAAGCTTTTCTTGTCAACCAATGTTTGTCTTACTATTACTTACATGACACTGAAAAATTGGCTGCTCTTGTACAAACTAGCTAATTCATGTGATCTATACATAACTTTAAGGGGATCTTGTGTTTGAAAGGAATGATGAGCTCATTCATTATTGTAAACAGGAAGCTATGACGTGACTCACAAACTAGTAAACATTCTTCACTTGTCTGTTTGCTCTGCATTCAATTGAGAGTTTCCGAACTGTGTCTGAGAGATTAGCAGTGGTTCATGAGGCTCTTACCCATCACAACTGCTTTAGAAAAATGGAGTTCACGTTACAGAAGATCTCTGGAGATTCTGATTTAAAAAACCAAGAACCTATGTCTCTAGATACAACATATAAACTGAAGAGATTTGTTGGAAAAAGAGAAAACATTAAAAGGTATGAGTCAAATTAGTTTGCAAAGATATATCTGTCTGGATACCGTCCACAGCCCAATAGAAAATTTTGTGATTTCCTATGTTCATGTTACTCTTAGAATCTGTGGAAAAACACCCAAGACCCGTCCAAGATTTCATCTGTTCACTAATTATGCACTGAACTCTTACTGTAAGAAATCCTATTGTTTTTCCAATGGGAGAGCCTGCCTTTACATACAATAAATTTTTAAAAAGAAGGGAGGAGGAAAATCTTCAATAATTTTATCAACAAATGGTAGTACAGGAGGTGTATTGTTATATCAATCTGATATATACTCAAGAAAAGTTATTGTAAAATCTGTGTTTGAAAGCTCTCTGAAAGTTCAATATAAACTTTAAAATCTAGAGATTCCTAACAATCATGTCATGTAATAAAGGACAAATCAAAAAAGATTGAAAAATAATACTGATTTATTACATTAATTTGCTTCATTTTTTGAGGAACAGAGAAAGAAGGATATAAAATCAGGGAAGTATGTTATATTGGTAACCTACCAACTGTATGGTTGAAGTAGATTTGCCTCTGCCTGAATGTTCATTTAATTCAGACTCCACTGGAAGATCATGGGAATGTCCCCAGTGCCCATTAACTAAAGAAAGGCCCTGCTGAATGAAGATGCTTTGCAATTAGTTCTGTAACCCAATGAACACAGGTGCAGTCTTTCTCAGTTTTTTGTGAAAGTTTAACATTTAAAAGAATTATTTTTTTCAAGACAAAACCTATTGAAACAGATTGTTGGTTGGCATAAATGCTGATTTGGTTTAAAAAACCCTCAAAAGTGAATCATCTAAATTAGTGACAACCATAGTGGTTTAAAGAAACTTATTTTGTTTTTTTTTTAAAAAAAAAGATTAAAATTTCAAGCCAAGATGGATATAAAAGTTAACGTTTAGAATTCACCTAGTTCTCAGTAGAACATGTTTAAAGATTTGTGGGCTGGTGATAAAGCCCTCCTCTCCAAAAAAGTAACATAAAGGACTGCTTTTTACCAAGCAAACAAAATATCACCATCATCAAAATATTCTCATTCTATTAATTTCACACAATATTCTTATGGGTGACTCAAAGATAGTGGGAATAGGGACTCATAGCTATGTATCTAAATCAGGTAAGTTATGAAATACTCCCTGTAAAACAGAACAAGCAAAGGTTTAGCCTTCTTCAGTGACATTAAGATAGCTTCCCATGCTGAGAAACTTAATGAGCCATCACGCTTTGTGCTACATTGTATGCTTGTGTATAATCATATTTTCATGAAATAAAGTAATAGAATTACTATACGCATGGCAGCGAGCAAGGAGATGATATTAACATAAGACTGGGTTCTACTGCCTGCAACATATATATTACATTTTCAAATCCATTGGGATAAGAGTCAACTATTTGGAAATTTTAAGTTATCATTCTTTAAAATATCTGGTGCTTACATCTATTCCTTCCTCCTCTTCAAACAGAGCCTAAACAACTGTCATTACTATTTCACACGGATGCAAACTCTTCACCTGCTCCAGTGCTGGTCATGAAAGTATGCTTACAGAACATATTCAATTAACTGTTTCTTCCTTGAGTTATGAATATATGGAGCACATTCATGAAGCATACACAATCCACAGAGCAAAGCAAAATAGGAATTGAAGGTTAATCTGGTAGGAGCACTTTGGAGAGCTACTTTTAAAGTTTCACTTAACTCTTACAAATTTTAATTATAAATTATAATTATTTTCCACAATCATTTTAACATTTTGTGCACTGTAAAATCTCAGAATAAAAGAGATTTTTTAAAAGATAAATTGTACAAAGCTTTACCTGGTCATGTGGTGTTACCAAAAGAAAGAAACACTTTTCGATCAGAAAAAATCCATGAATTCCTCCAATTATTCCCAAAAGTTTCCAAATATATTCTTTCCCCTCATAGAAATGTTCTACCTCTTGTGCTTCATGTTTATGTAAACCAAGAGTCTAAATAAAAGAGATAAAGTAAAAAAAATTAAAATGACAATGTTTTAATTTTTGCTTGTGAAACATAAGGTGTTATTTCAATTAATTCTCAAAATTTTCTTTTGTCATTTTTTGCAAATTTAAATTACGTTTCCAGCTGATCAACTGAATAATAGTTGGATGAAATTAATGATTAGGAGCCTCTTCTACACTTTATCATCTCTCAGTGTTGAAAGGAACAATTTTTTAGAGACAATTTTATGAAATTGTTCTTTTTCTAAATATCTATTTAGGGTGGGATTTTTTGAGTATATTGAAATTTAAAGTTTAAAAAGTCACTTGCATCATCTTCAGATGCAAATTTCATATAGAAAATAATCCATAAATGTTTCTGATAGTGAATGTGCTTCCACATTTCCCCAGTGGCACAGCACGGCAGCCCTCCTTTGCTCTGGAATTGGGCACTTTAAAGGCTACTGGATATGTCACTTAAAACTGATGAAGAATACTTTCACACTCACTTAAAGATGTGCATTTGTCTGACATTTGCTGAGAATCACCTTCCTTAAACCACTTTCCCAGTTCTGCTTTCAGAGATGATGTATTGAATATGAAGAACATTTTGACCAGAATCTCAAGTGAAGGTGTGAAGCTCTCTTGCAATGACCAGTTACATTCTACTCATAACAATTGTGTCACATCAGAGGAGACTCAGTCAAAAACAAATGAATACACAATGGAAAAATTTATATTCTATCCTATACTTGAAATTTATTTTATTAATTTAGGAAAAAATCGTAGCACTCTATTATGATTGTAGGCAGCAGGATTAATTAGGCTGATAGCCCCTGGCTTTCTGGAAGAATGTGTAGAGGAAACTGCAGATGCCTCGTACAACCTTTGAACAATTTCTCCTGAAATACATTACAGAATCTGCCTCATGAAACCTGGTTTGCACAAGACTTGTGTATTTTCTGAAAAGTTTTTGTGAAAATGTTCCCATTCCCTTATTTTCTCTGAATTCATAATTACTTGATTTCTGCTTCTTACTACTTAACTTGGAATCTCTCTTTGAACTATAAAGTACAAATGTAATTGGAATGTTGGGTAGCTGGTTCACAGATTTCATGGAAAGCTTTATTTTTAAACAGATAACAATTAGTCATGTTTAAATGAGATTTTTCTTTTTTTGTGTGTGTGAACATTTTAAAACAAAAAAAAAGTGTGTATTACCCACCTGAGGAATAAGGTGTAGCAATGCATCTCCAGAAAGGGTCCCGACAGCCAAACCAACAAACAGCTGTAAAATGAGTGTATAGATTTCTTGACAGGAGTTAAATAAAATGAGGGTTGTACCAAACATAGATCCAATAGTAATAAGTAAAACAGCAACAGTGCTGTAACCGTATTCTGTA